ATGATATATTTGAGTGCTCGAAGCCTATTGGGATTGTAATTTCAGCAAATAGATAAATACATATTTCAATCATTCGCTAAACAATCGAGTACAAATTCTATACTCAACTAGCTCTACAGCAGAGCAGAGCTCTACGTAGTTTTTCAGTGTATTTTCTAGAGCGGTACTCTTGTTATTTTCCCTCTTTCTCTAGGTATATTAACTGTAAAATATAAACCAGTAATATCTATTTACCAAACAGAATAGGTGATCTTAAGGATATGTGTAGTGAAATACAGTAGAATTCGGTCAAAACTCCGCTTATAGCGACAAAAATTCTGGTACCCAGACAAACTTGTATGAACAAGCTTATATGGTTATAGCATCTATCGGGTCTTCCGGGTAAAAAAACGGTCCCTTGATCGGATTGTATTGCGTACTTCAAAACTCTGCTAAGTCGGCTCAGTTCAGAGTTCGATTCAGGGTATTTTCTAGTCAGGCACTGCCGAGTGGAGAACCTTCTCTAATTTTGCCTGTAGATTGGGTTAGCTGAGGTGACAATTTGACTTGCCCGGCTCTACATAATTCTTTATTTCTTATTATTAATTTTCCTGCTTTTTCTTAATGATGATGCAAATAAATGATTCTTCTAGGTTTTGTCATACTGACCTTGCAGCACCATGCCCTGCTCAATGCATTTCTTAAATCGACAATACTGACAACGGTTGCGCTGTGCTTTGGTTATCTCGCAGGTGCCATCGGCAACGCACGTGTAGACCCTTCTGTTCTGCACGGTGCGCTTGAAGAAGCCCTTGCATCTGCAGGAGAGGATCACAGAGGGAGATGGGAGAGAGAGAGAGAGAGAGAGAGAGAGAGAGAGAGGGAGATAGATCAATGTTAGATCAACTTTGTCAAGTGCTCCACTTGAGGTTTAGCCGTGCTTCAACTTACCCCTCGCAGGTGATGATGCCGTAGTGCAGTCCGGTGGCCTTGTCCTCGCAGATCATGCAGACCAGCGGCTGGTCATCCTCGTCCGTTGGCTCGTGCGGCGCCTCGAGGGAGCGCCCGCTGCCGCTGGAGTTGGAATTGGAATTGGAGCTGCCCCACTGCTGCTGGGCGCTCAGATTCAGCGCCTGCAGCTGACCCGGCGGCAGCTGCGAGTAGTCCCCGGCCCACAGGCGCTCCATGTTGAGCGCGTGCGGCGTGCGGAACTGATGCGGACGCGGACGGATATCCTGGATGCGCGTCTGTCCGAGCGAGAGCAGCAGCTGGGCAGCCTCCTCGTTGTTCTGCGGACCCACAGCCGGCGGACCGGGCGTATGGCTGGGCGTAATCGATCCGGTCGATGGTGACGAAACTGTTTGCAGGCAATGTTGCTGCTGTTGCTGCTGCTGCTGTTGCTGCTGCTGCTGTTGTTGCTGCTGCTGCTGCTGTTGGTGCTGCTGCTGCTGCTGGTGTTGTTGCTGCTGCTGCTGTTGTTGTTGTTGCTGGTGTTGGTGTTGTTGCTGTTGGTGTTGGTGTTGCTGCTGCTGCTGTTGCTGCTGTCCCGCTGTTGGCGGCGGCGGCTCATAGCCCCAGACCATGGTGCGCACGCCGCAGCTCTCGCCCATGATGACGGTGGGCGTGCCGCGCGGCGGCGTCTGCGAGGGCGTCTGCGGCGACAGCTGGGACGACGAGGACGAGGACGAGGGGTGCGGCGACGGGCAGAGCGGCCCGCCAATCACCTCCGGCTTGACGCCGTTGATGCGCGCATTGCTGAAGCAGACCATGCGCTGAGCTGCCGCTGCGGCGGCCGCTGCTGCTGCTGCCGAGGGCTGCATCAGATGGGGCAGTCCGCTGGATGCGGTGGCGGCAGCCACCGCCACCTGCTGCTGCACCTCGCTCTTCACCCGGAACAGTATGGCGGCATCGCGGCTCGGATGGCGCAGCGACTGCAGCGAGGCTGAGTGCATCAGCGACTGTTGCTGCTGCTGTTGTTGCTGATGTTGCTGCTGGTTTTGTTGCTGTTGCTGCTGCTGCTGCTGCTGCTGGTGTTGCTGGTGCTGGTGTTGGTGGTGGTGCGGCGAGAGGTGTCGCTGAACCTGCCCGCCCGATCCACCGCCCGAATTGGGCTCCTTCTTGACGCGAATCAGCGCATGCGGCGAATGTTGCTGCATATGTTGCGGCGACTGTTGCTGCTGTTGCTGCTGCTGCTGCTGCTGCTGGCCAAGCAGGTGATGCAGATGCAGCTGCTGCTGTGTGAGCTGCTGCATCGACTGCATGGTCAGCTGCGGCAGCTGCAGCTCCTGCGGCGGGCTGTTCTTCCGCAGCGTCAGCGGCTGCGTCAGCTGCTGGTGCAAGTGATGCGTCTGTACGATGGAGGCGGGCGCCAGGCTGCCATGCCCATGGCCATGGCCGTGTCCCAGCTGGGCGTGCCCGTGGCCGTGGGCGTGCGGATGGCCGTAGCCGTGCCCATGATGCTGGCCCATCGGCGGACTGGCACGGCTGATGTGCTGCGAGGAGCTGATCGAACTGGAGCTGCCCAGCTCCCGTTCCCGATCCCGCTGCGTAGTGGAGGAGGGCGAGGCGGGCGGCGGGGGCTCCGCCTTGATGCGCGACGGCGTCACCAGCACTGTGACATGACCCGTGGCTGCCTTCAGATCCCGATCCCGATCCCGATCTCGATCCCGATCCCGATCTCGATCCCTTTCCCGCTCCCTTTCTCGTTCCCTTTCTCGCTCCCTTTCCCGCTCGCGCTCCCGCTCCCTGTGCTGCTGCTGCTGCTGTTGCTGCTGCTGGTGGTAGGCGAGCATTTTGGTGGGCGAGGCCAGGATGCGCTCCTCCTTGACCGAGCGTATTACACTCAGATTGCTGCTGATCTTGTTGTTGTTGCTGCTGTTGCTGTTGTTGTTGTTGTTGCTGTTGCTGCCACCGCCGCCTCCACTGCTGCTGCTGGTCGCCAGCAGGCCGTTGGTGGGCGTGGCACTGTTGCGGCCGCCCGTCGTCGTTGAGGGCTTCTCCTCCAGCGAGTCGGGCGAGGCCAGGCGACTGCTGCCATTGCTCGAGCTGGAGGCGCCGCCATTGTTGTGCGGCGGCGTCGGCGTGCCGCGTGCACTCAATGCCAGCGACAGGGCCTCAACCCCGCCCCCGACACCGCCGCCGCCTCCACCTCCGCCAGTGTCGAGGGCCAGCGGCGGCGTCGCTGCCGACGGCGGAGGGGACATAACTGTAGAAGCAGCCGCCGCTGTGATCGCACTGCTGGATGAGTTGATTTCAGTCTGTTGATGCTTGGATCCACCGGCCGATCCACTGTTCGCCGCAGCAACAGCAACTGTTGCTGCCACGGCTGCTGCTGCTGCCGCTGCTGCGGCTGCCGATGCTGCTGCCTTGGCTGCTGCTGTTGCGGTTATGGTGATGGTGTTGCTGCTGCTGCTGCTGCTCGGACAGCTGCCGGCTGTCGTTGACATTAAAGATGATGCAGCTGCTGCAGTTGCTGCTGCTCCACTTGCTGCTCCTGCTCCTGCTCCTGCTGATGATGATGATGATGATGAGGTGGCGGCAGCTGCCGCCGATGTGGACGCCGCTGTTGTCACCGTCACCGTCACCGACGGCAGCGCCGGCAGCGACGGCAGCGCCGGCGTCGTGCCGCTGTCACAGAGCTTCGGCGACATCGGCGCCAATAGATCCGGCGACGAGGTGGATGTGTCCGCTATGGATTCGCCGTCACTGCTGCATCTTGAATCGATTTTGCGTCGCTTGAGTTTGAGGTCTTGAAAAAGGCTCATTTTATCGAGCTCGCTGTACGGGCCACGGCTCAGTGTCATAATTCCTGTGCAACGAGCGCCGTTAGATGGAGCAAGGGTGTGGGGGAGAGAGAGAGTGCCACAAAGGGAGAGAGAGAGAGAGAGTTAGAGACGGAAATACGTATATATATGCATATATAAATTAAATATAATTATTATGTAGTCCATAGAGTCGATAGAGTAAAGTTAAGGCTTATAAATATATTATTTGTATATTCAAATTCGTCTCGGATCTGTTCCATTGCAAGTGGAATAAACCACATAGGGCAGCACCCTATCAGCATCAGAATCAGTAGAGATATTGGGCACATTTATGCATGGATAGAGCCCCAACAAAGTTACTTCCAAAATACATCCAAACTATTGTATATATTATAGGATTACACCCCTAAATATATATGTCGAGCATCCCTTAAAACCCTACTCAATTAATGGTATATTATTGACCAATTAGAAAAATATTTGGTAGTTTTACCCTCAGATGTATCAAATGTTACTCCAGCTTTTCCCTGTCTAAACAGATATCATTTAATACAGCTAGTAGGCGGACGATCTTATGAAGTAACAGATATAACTATTTAGTCTAGAGTTTTTCAACTAAAGTCATCAAAAGTTGGCAGCTAAGGCGTGACAAGTCCTCAAATATTGCTGAACAGGAGCAGCCACCTCGAGCAGCTTTCGGCTCAGCAGATTTCGAGCTGAAGTCTTACACGGCTTGAGATTGTTTCCTGTGATCAATTTCATTTCCCATTTACACGAAATTTATCTGATATCGCACATCAACTATATATAGTTAACTAACTATAGTTCTATCCAGTCTTAAGTAGACTTAATTCTGATTGGATCTATTTTATAATTTAGAATCGAAATTTCAATTGAAGAGTTGAAGATCATATTATATATACATTAGATATATGGAGATACTTGATCTTAACGACGAGCTGATACTATTAGTTCCTCTTCAATATCAGTTCAAATCGATAAGTTGACATGGGCTTGAATTCATAAACATATATAATAATATAATCATATACCATAGCAATATAATAATATATATGTATATATAAAATGAATTATTTAATTTCATAGAAAGAAAGATGGGTTGAAATATCTATTCCATATTCGTTACGTTGAAATTCCATAATTAAATATACAGTCCACCCTCGATAAATCCAAAATCGCGATGCATAAAAAAAAAATCTACCCCTTTGAAAATAATTCGTTCTCGATAATTTGAATTTCTGTGTAGATCAAAAAAAGCTGAGCCTCTAGTCATTTCGAATCATCAGGACTCGACTGTATATATATATGAATGTATATAAATATTTTTATATTATTAAAATATATACATATATATTATTATTATACATTGTGTAGATTTATGAAATATTAAAATCTTGGGATTTGGCAACACCTTTGGATGTCAGAGGCAATCTCATTATTGACCATATTTGGCTAGAGTCGAAGGTTGAAATTGACTCAAAAACAAGATACAGATACAAGACGCAAATACAAGTTATGGGTAAACAAAATATATTGTAGCATATACTAAAATAACAAATACATAGGGAAATTCTTGTATATGAAATATATATTTTAAGCCATATTAGCGCTAGAGAATATCTTTGATATAGACATATGTATGTACGTATGTATGTATATCCATTGAAGACCTGACACAGCTTGCCTATAAATTTTCTATATATTGTACCTTTGTTGGGGGCGTGGCAAGATGAAAAAATCCAACTAGATCTTGCTTGATTTTAAAGTTATTTAATACTTAAAAGTCTGGCGGATAGATCCATGTTGATGGCATCACTGATGATTGTATTATTCGTCCTTTGGGGCGTGTCAAAGCAGATTAAAGTGATTATTTTGAGGATTGAAATATATGAATCGAATCTTAAATTCTTTCCGATTAGTATTTACCGATATGCATGGTAAATACTATAAATTGTTACTATATAGTTTTTACTATATTCTTAAAAAGTTGGCAGGTCAGCGACCTATTGAGATCCGCTACAGAACAATCTACTAAACGAGAAAAACTGAAGGAATTGAAAAACATTTGAAAGTGGTGGGCTCAACTGTTTCCATGGCCATGGACGAGTATTGGGCAGTCGGTCATGCCTGACTGCAAGAGTCTCAGTTGCTTGCAGAACTAAGCACTACCTGGTCTAAAATATGCTTGCATTCTCAGCTTCTTCAGCCTCCAGTCTGGGAGATGCTGATGCTACGTTTCCCATGACCGTGACTTTGTCTCAAGCTGAAGCCGAAATCGTTTCGCATGGGTGTTAACTTGTCAAACTTGATTTGGCGTTTAGAATTTCAGATTTTCATTTAAATAACTTGCCGAATACACTCACTGATCGCAGAGCGAGGCATATTGGCGAGGGTCAGATGCTAGAGCAGACTGATGTGAGAAGGGGGAAAGGGTAGACTGGAATGATTAGAATAGTTGCAAACTTAGAGGAATTTGCTATAAGGTATTTATGTAATACGTCAGGAATATGTCAGATAATAAATATATACATCTTATTGCTATTATGATATGAAGTGATCCTGTAAAGTTAACAGCAGAATGTAAGAGTATAAGGTTAACAGCAGAGTCTGACTGTCAGACTCTGACACCTGGATCTGATAGCAAAGTCTATCAGCAGAATCTAACAACAGAAACTAAGAGCAGAGTCTAAAAGCAGAGTCTAAAAGTAGAATCTAACAGCTGATTCTAACAGCAGAGTCTAGCAGCAGAGTCTAATAGCAGGATCTAAAAGCAGATTCTAACAGAAGAGTTTAACAGCAGAGTTTAACAGCAGAGTCTAGCAGCAGAGTCTAATAGCAGAATCTAATAGTAGAGCAGAGTTTAACAGTGGAATCTAACAGTTGAGTGTAACAGCAGAGGCTCTTAAAGTTACAGTAGTGTTGATCTGAGGTTAACAGCGCTTATACAGAGTTATTATAGAGCTACTGTCGGAGTGAGTTTGCTTCTAGGCAAGAGCAAACTGAATCTTTCAATTCCTACTCCATAAGAGAGAGAGAGAGAGAGAGAGAGAGAGAGAGAGAGAGAGAGAGAGAGAGAGAGAGAGAGAGAGAGAGAGAGAGAGAGAGAGAGAAGGAGAGAGAGAGCGAGAGAGAGCGAAAGATAGCTGAACGTAGCAACCTTTGTTGCTGTGTGCGAGTGAGATGGCTAGAAATAGGCATCGATGTACAATAGAAATTGATGGAAAGTACATTGGGTATCCGTATGAAAGGTGTGTAACCTGCCAAGTTGTGATCTATATACTATATAAGATATGTATAAAACTGCATAATGAAATAAATATATATATTTCATAAAATATGTGGTATACCATACAAAATAAATTAAACTATATTTAAATAGGTATATCATTTATGATATATCATATATATATTTATCGAAATCCAAAAACCCAAATCATATCAGGATTTCATTTAATGTGCATAACAAGTAAACAAATATATATATATATATATATATATATATATATGTATATACATACATCGTTAAAATCATTTCAATGATATTTCTATAATATCCGAAGTATATCATGAAATTGATGTATGCAAACACCAATCAAATATCAATAAAATTCAAATGGAATATGGAATTTATTTGATGACCCATTATCCATTCATAATGCCCGCTATGCTGCTCTTGGCCGAGCCGAATCATAACTGTGGACATCGGCTCTGGCTCGACCTGACCAGGTGAATCACTGTCTTGGCGGCATGCATAAAATCATATATCAGCTAAGAGTGGCATTTTTTTTTTTTTTTTGATATGTTTTGTTTCTGTTCTCTTTTGCTTCGTATCGAATTTTTGCGGAAGTTATTGCCAAACGATCAAAACAAAATTTGCATTTACTTCCCCAGCGCAAAGCGTTCGAACTGGTTGAGGCAAGCCAAGACGGGAGGGAGGAGGGGGGGGAGGGAGTGCGTCGAAGTAGAAGGCGCGATCGCTTTAGCTTCTCTAATTAGCTGCGTAGCTTCAAAGCACAAAAGAACAAAAAAAAAAAAAAAAAAAAAAAAAAACCATAAAATGTAGCGCAAAATGGGTCAAACGTAAGCATGGACAGAGGCAGAGAAATTGAGGGGGGGCTGGCCGAGGGGGCTGGAGTGTAGAGCGAAGAGTGAGGAGGCAGAGGATTGGGGCTCGCTATCAACGGCAAGATAAGCAAGCGCTTGTGTTGCAATCTGTTGCAAGCTAGAAGTTCAAGTAGAAGCAGGGAGAGCGACAGCGAGAGCGAGAGCGAGAGAGAGTGGGTAAGAGAGAGTGAGAGCTGTCTAATGTGTAGATGCATGAGCTGCGGCAGTTGAGGGGATCGCAAGTGGAAGGCAACAGCTGAACTTTCGATCGCGTTGAAAATTCTAACGCACGCTCTCTCGCTCGCACACGCAGCGCTTTGGTTGTTGCTCTCGCTCTGGCTCAATTAGTGAACGCGGTGCGTTGGCCCATGGCTCTCTCTGCAAGTGTGCGTGTGCGTATGTGTGTGTGTGTGTGTGTGTGTGTACTTGTATCTATCTAATGTCGTATCTACACGCATGCCACGATCAGCGACGGTGACGGCGACGGCAGCGGAGCCGCAGCTGGCAGCAGCGCCGTCGACAGCGACGTCGCAATGTCGCGTTTGTGTGTGTATTTTTAAAATTTGACCTATTTTCATTATCAAGCGCAAGATTATTCTAAACAATAAATGCCCATGCGTAGCTGTCTGCGTGTCGCTCTGTCTGTGTGTGCGGCGCGTGGTAGGAACAGCAGCAGCCTCTAAAAACACCCACACACACACACACACACACACACATATGTACAGAGTGCTGCTGCACACGCACCTGTGCGAGGAGAATGAGAATATAATGAGAATCGACTTGAAAGCACTCAATAGGCAAAGCGTTTCGAGAATTTCAGGTGCAATTGCAGACGATCGCTGGGATCCCATTTCCAATTCGGGGCGATTCGATAAACCAAGTGCAACGATGACCGAACAAATGTTCAATGGACTTTTAGGGTAGAATAAAAACACCTAAGAAAATTGGGAAAACGTTTTGAGTTCGAATGTATGGCATACATTTCTCAAAGATATCGTTGGATATTGTTATGTTTAGCTAATTTAACTAATGAAAAGCTTATCGGCCTTTACATATTTTTATCGAAACCTCATTTCAGTTTCGATAAGGATTACTTATAATGCAGCTAAAACTCATAAATATATTGAAGAGTAACAATGTCTACATATATATAAAGATATATAGATATATGTATATATTTATGCAGCTTTGAGAACTTCATTAAGTTTCACTAAATTATCGATCACATCTGATCCAACATTTATCAATCGATATTAAGTTTAGTATAACGAATTTTGTATAATATTTTTTGTGGATGTTTTAGCGAAACAAAAAACTACAAAATCATTTATCGATAAATTAAGAGAATGATAAAACCTACTCAACAATATTCAATCTTCTTATCTAAGCAGTAATTAGCCGTTTTATTAACAGCTGAACGATGATTAAGAAACTCTCGAGAATAGGCTGATTTCAAACTGAAGTAGCCTATCGACTATCGATTAATATTAATAGGAAAGTCTACATTTTTTATAGAGATATATATATGCGTATGTGTATGTAAAATGTATGTCAATGAAATGTGCTCTCAGCCATGAGTACCTCCATAGCATGTTTTCACAGTTTTAGGATTACATATACTTATCGATATATTTATCGAAAGCCCTTAAAGTGAATAAGTAAATATATATACATTAACAATAAATGTATACATATATCTAGTTAATAAGTAAAAAGTTTTCCCCCACTTAATCGATTAATTAATCGATAACAAGCATGCAAAATGAAAATTGAATGTTGTCATAAAATTTCGATTTTTAGACTGCTATGAGTATTGGTTATCCATCAAATAAAATCTGGAATTTGCCTTAAAAAATAATAATATAATTTTTCACAGTGTATGAAAAATTTCGCTGTAAATTATCGCATAAAATACTAGGGAAAATATGTTTTATATACAATGAGAGGGACTGTTGTTGTTGTTGTTGTTAAAGTTAATGGTGCTATTGTTGTTGTTGCAGGTACTGTTGCAGTTTCTGTTGTTAGTGAGGTTAGGAATGATTGTGGTTAATTGGATAAAATTGAGAGTGTTGCAATATCTATATATTAGTGGTATTAGTAGAGGTTTACATCGTATTTAAATGCTTAGGTAGGGTAGTTTGGACAGTTTCTTGCACTGGGAGCAAATTTACCTATGGATGTCATAATTTTGTTGTTGCCGATTCGATTCTTGAATTTGGAACGTAAAAGAATACGTAAAAATTTTGAATGCCGATTGTGTTGAAATTGTTTTTGTTTCTGTTTCTGTTTTTGTTTTTGTTTATGTTTTGGTTTTGGTTGATTTCTTAAAATTGTTGCAGCTCTTGTTGCTGATGAGCCTTTTGTTGTTGTTGTTGTTGTTGCTGTTTTGGCTGTTGTTGTTTTTGTTCTTTTTGTTGTATTTGTACTCGAGGTAAGCATTTAGTTGCTGTCAATTTGGCGTGCCACACTTGCCACATGGCGGCAGAGCCTGTGGCATTACAAAGGGGGGAAAAAAAAACAAACAAACAAGTTACAGGGTATTTAACGTTCATCAACACGATTGTCAGGCTGAGCATGATTCTCGTACTGATGAACGAGGGGTAGAGAGATAGAGGGGAAAGAGGGATTTGCCAATTCGAGTTTGTAACAATTTGGTTTGCATTATTTCTTTTTAGTATTAAGTTGGTAATTTTGCGGTATTTTTGCGGTATTTTCTTTTATTGTTGTCACAGTTTCCAAAATTTGGGTTGTTTTTAGTTTTTAGGAGAATTTTTGTTGTTGTAATTTATTGGGGAACGTTTACGCATTGTGTCTTATATATATGTGTGTGTGTGTGTGTGTGTATGTTTGGGGGCGGGGGGCAGGGGGGTGAGTGCAGTGGCTCTTGGGGTAATAGCTGATAATACAGGGTATTGATTATGATAGTAACGAGATAATGTTTAGTGAAAACAAAACGTATTCAAAAAAATACTAACGGCAAATGGGCGGCATACGAGATTTTTTCTTATAGTAATTATTATAGTTGTTGTAATGGATGTTGTTGTTGTTGTTATTGTTGCTGTTGTTGTTGTGAGAGTTGCACTTGTTACACTTTTGACTGCAAGCATTCTGTGCTGCTGCTGCTGCTGCTGTTGCTGCTGCTGCTGCTGGCAGTGTTGCTGCCGTGCAGGATAATGTTGTTGCTGCTGCTGCTGGTGTTGCTGCTGATACTGTTGCTGTTGCTGGTGTTTTTATGAGATAGTCAAGCGATTGCTGATGCTGCTGCTGCTGCTGCTCCTGTTTCTGCTCATCGGCAGCAACATGCTCGGGCGTTGTTGCTGTTGCTGCTGCGGCTGCAACATCGTCGTCGTCGTCGCCACTGGCGCCAGCAGCAGCAATAGCAGTAGCAACATCGGTAATGTTATCATTATCGTTATCGCCTTTGCCATCGCCGTCATGATGATGATAATGATGATGGTAATGATGATGGTGATGATGATGATTATCATTCATAAATTGTTCTTGTTCATTGTTATTTCCGCTTTGAAAACCGGAATCGCAGCCAAAACCCAAAGTATTGTCGTTGTTGTTGCTGCTGCTGCCGTCGCTGTTGGTGCTGCTGCCGATGCCAGCATTATTGTTGTTGCTGCTGCGCAAGCTGTTGTTGTTGTTGCTGCTGCTGCTACTGGTGTTGTTGAATGCAACATGCGGCAGATTGCCATTGCTATTACTACTGTTGTTGTTGTTGTTGCTGTTGTTGCTGTTGCACTTCTTGAGCAACGTCTTGTTAAGCGGCGTTTTGATAATGGTCAACTTGCTGCTGCTGCTGTTGCTGCTATCAGCCTCTAAGCCGGCGTCCTTGTCAGCAACATCGTCGTCATCGATGCTGTTGCTGTTGCTGCTATTGTTGTTGTTGTTGTTGCCGTGACCATTGATGGTTCTTATCTGCTGCTCCTCGAGCGTATGCTGGCCATTCTGCTTGGCCTCGCCAGCTTTGCTGGCTATTGCTGTGGGTGTTGCTGTTGCTGTTGCTGTTGCTGTTGCCTCGGCAACGACAGCAGCAGCAACATTGACCGCAGCCACCGCTGGCTCCAGGCTCAGCGGCTGATTGGCATTCATTTGGACAGATCCTGCTGCTGCTGCTTCTGCTGCTCGTCCTGCTCGATGTGGCGGCGCTTAGGTGGGCAGACACAGCTGATGACGGGTGGCAGCACTGGCAACTGTTGCCATGCTGGCAACGGCAACCGCTGGCAAGCAGCGCCAACTAGGACGCATGCTTGCACAACAATCCGAGCATGAGTTCTATCCACAATTTGTAGTCAATCAATGCGTATGTATATGCTGCACACACACATCTACACACGCACGCACGCACACACACGCGAGTGTTTCACTTTTTAACAGCTAATGAGCGAAATGGAGAGAAATGTGAGCAATAAAATAAAAAAAAAAATAGTTGAATAAGAATGTGTAAGCCACACACGCACACACACACACACACTGAGAGTGAGGAATATCCTGATGGTGAATGAGCGAGTGACGAGTAGCGAGTGACGAGAGACGAGTGACTGATTGTATGTGTGTGTGTGTGTGCTTAGAAGAGGGGTTTTTAGTTGAACAACACTGGTAACAACTTGTTTACAACAAACATTAAAAAAAAATTGTCAGATATTACTGTATGCATATATATATACATATATATGTATGTATGCATATATATTTATTTAGTTTATGATCACTTTAAGCCGTTGACCGTTAGATAGTTGTTTGATTTGTTGTTCTTACTTGCTAGTAACAACAACTAACACACAGACACACACACACACACACACACACACAGTCTCAAACACAGCGTGAGATATTGGAGAACAGCGCGAGTATGCATTTTATCATTGATCTATGTATGTGTATGTGCATATTTATTTATCATAGGTAGTATATCCAATTTTTGTATATTCTGAGTGAGATATATGTATGTGTAATAATTTATATGTTATGTATATTACAGGCAGACCACATCAAATAAAGCGCGAGCGAGTTGAAATCCCGTGATGACCGTTAACACTAACTGTTTTCGCACGCCGTATGTAACGAATGGCAGTTAACCGGGTACTCGTTAGTACGCGCACAACAACCAAAAAATGACTACACAAATATTACAAAAATAATACGGCAAAAAAACAGAAAAAAAAAATACAATAAATAAAACAACAGAAAAAAAAAATACGAAAAAAATTATATAGTGTCTCTTCCGTATGACAACACACAACAAACAGAGAAACAGCGGCCAAGAGTCGCTTTCGCGCCGTGTGTTGTTGTTGTTGTCGTTGTTATTGTCGGCTGGTTGTTGTTTTGTTTGATGCTGCTCCGCGGCCAACGTGCGTACATTCGAACGAAATAAAGTGAAATGAAAGGAGTAAGCGAGCGAAAGAAAGCAAGCAGCAGCCACAAACCGTCTCAGCCCAGTCAGCCAGCGACGTCTGCGCTGGCTGCGCTGCCAACGTAGATGGTTGCAGGCGCGCGCGCCTCGAAAACTAGCGCGCTACAACAACAGCAATAACATATTCAAAGCTGCGCTGTCGTTGTTGTCGCAGCCGCAGCCGCAGCCGCGGCCGAAAGCCAAAACGATCACAGCACGCCATTAGATGGGAAGCGTCGTGGCTGCTGCCGCTACCGCTGCCGCAGTCACTGTCGCAGTCGCGGCTGCCGTCGCAGCAGTCACAATAGACGTCGACTGCAAATGAAAATGAAAACCAATAGACAAAAAGTAAAAAAGCACACACCAATACATATAAGCGTATGCATGGCGCAGTCATAGACATAGACATAGACACAGACACAGCCAAAGCCATAGACCCAGGCGACGTCGACGTCATAGTTATGCTATGCGCGACCGCTCGGCAACACGTTCGGCCAGCGCTCGTTCGGCTGCAATAAGCGCTAGATAGATAAACGGAGAGAATATGAGAGTGAGAGAGAATGCGAGTGGGCGCACACCAGAAGCTTATGCGAGCTACTCTAGTCAACTTGCATACACTGTGCCCCGCACTGGTGCTGCCTACCCTACAGGAATAGCTCCGTTGCGTCTGGCGACAGTTTCAGTTGACGTCGCTGCCGCTGCTACTGCCGCTGCCGCCTAGGCGCATGAAAATAGAAAATAGAAGCACAAAAAAAAAAAAAAAAAAAAAAACTGCTGAGCTTTGTGGGGCGCTCCCCCATCCAATGCTACAGTTTATGCATATGTGTACTGCATTAAAATTCAAATTTGAAGTTGTGTTGCATGAGTGTGTCTGTATGTGTGTGTGTGTGTGTGGACGTTGACCGGCTTGCTGCCTGCCAGTGGGTCGTATTCATTGCAGTTAATAGCAGGCAGTAAAAGCTTTCCTACACCGACTACAACTTCGTCTTCGTTTCTAACTTCGTCTCTGGCGCTGCTCGGCACACAGTAGTCGGGAGTCGGGACAATACATTCGTGTCGTCACTTACGTCAACAGGCTAGAAAGAGAGCGGCTGCGGAAGATAGCAAGGCGCTTATGCAAAGGTTCAATGAAATGAAACATAAAACTGTGCCACCAGTGTGCTCGAGTGCAGCGACGCTGGCGTCGCTGTAACTGCGGCGCCTGCTACTATTGCTGTTGTTGTTGGTGCTGCTGCCACTGCATAAAAGAGCTTTGAGCATTAATACAACATAGCTATTAGATGTACGAAGGAGAAAGAGGGAATGAAGAAGGAGAGAGAGAGTGTGAGTGGGAGGGTGATTGTACCAAATGCTTCCTGACTCGCTAACAGCGAGTGAAGAGATATGTATGTATGTATGTATGTAAGTATGGCAATTGGGATTCGATTGCTGATCAGTGGGTGACACTCACACATACACAGATTGACTTAAGCTAAAGTATGCATTACACAGGCGCACTGTGTGACAGTGAGTAAAAGGTAAAAGTGAATTTGAAAAAGAGCAGAAAATCATCAACGATTGCGCAACGGCGACGACGGCTGCGCAAGTGGAGCGCAACGGCAACGGCAACGGCAACGGCGACGGGCGGCATTAAGAAGCAGCAATGTCATGAATTGCAAAATGTGGACAGACGGACAACAGTGGACAGGGCACGATGGGTGTAGCTCGACAAATAATACAATAGAAAACAAAAATAAATAAATAAATATCGGGTTGAGTGTTGTCTTGTACGGCATTTGCCATTTAATATGTCGCTAACATTTCTTTATACCCCCGCATGGACAGCCCACAGGCACGCCCCCTTTGCAGCCCTACAGACGCAAGCGTCAATGATGCCTTCGTACTGGCACGTTCGTTCGTTGACCATTGTCTCGGGCACTTTCGATTTCAAATACATTGCACGCTGTTAGCAGCAGCGGCGGCAACAACAGCAACAATAATAACAATAGCAACAGTAACAGTAAGAGCAACAAATTCAATATGTAATTGTTTGGCGCACATTTCATTTCCTTATTGCTCACTGACATTTTGCTTTACAGACACACACACACAGACAAATTCGCCAATACATACATGCAAAAACTGGCTTACGACTTTATAATGAGCAATAACTACAACAGCAGCATGAAAATGCGAGCAAAGCAAACGTGTCAAGTCTACTGCTGCAATTGCTCTCGTTACTGTTGTTGTTGCTGTTGCTTTTACTGTAGGTTTTTGTTTTTTGCATGTAACTTGTAACGCAGGAAGCTTAACGCCGCCTGAACTTCACTTACTACGCGCTCACTTGCTCTACACACTCTCTCACACACACAGAGAGCACTCATAGGGCGCTCTCTTGAGCCTCGCGCTCAGTGCCCGCCAGCTGACAGGCTGTTGTCTCTGCTCTGGTGCAAGTGAAAGTTTTTTGGGTTCTTTCCTTGTCCATGACACGGATCGGCGGCGGGCGTGCAAGTGAGACAGCGAGACAGTCAGCCAGCCAAGCACGCATGCCCGCTTGACTGAGCGAGATGGCACGCGGAAATATGCAACTGCGAAAGAGAGCGCAGAGAGCGAACATACGCGTGCGCGCATTTGTGAGCGAGCTTTAATGTAGTGATGTTGTTGTTGTTGTTTTTACGTTTGATTTTTGTTTTTGTTTCTTTTTTTTTTTTTTTTTAGTGTGGCGATCGCCGTTGGTACTCACCGGACCACAGCGCCGGGCCAGGCATAGTTGCACGCGTTTTGTCTCTGCTGCAGCGTCTACTCTAATTAATGTGGTTGTTGTTTTTTTGCTGATTTTATAATCCTTTTATACTTTTGTATAACTGTTTTGCAGTTGCACTTGCTCTGCAATAGTCTCCACTTTTGAACACCCACTCTACACTTGAACAAAAATCATCGCCATTTGAAGTTCGATTTTGAATAATTTTTATGTATTTTATTGCTTTGGCTGTTTTTTCTTTTTTGTATTTTTTTTGTGATATTTATTTAATTTTTTTTGGGTAATCGCGCGCGCGCTGACTACGTTCGAGCCATAAAGCGACTGAAGTCAGTGCGCTGCCGCCGCTGCCGTCTGCCGTCTGCAGTATGCAGTTAGCAGTCTGCGGTCTGTTCGTAAGAGGCTGCTACAGCTCTGAAGCACTTGAAGCCAAAACAAAGTCAACGCCAACGACAACGACAACGACAACAGCAACAGCAACGCCAACGACAACGCCAACGTTGGCGTCAGCAGCGCAGTCAGCAGCACAGCGAGCGTATGCGAAAATGACTTGCTGTTGCAGTTGTTATTGTTGTTATTGTTTTTGGTGTTGTTGTTGTTGCTGCTGTGTTACAAGTGCTCGAAGTAGAATTTGTTAAAACTATCAACTAATTATTATTATTATTTTTTATGTTTTTATTTTTGTTACTTTTTTTTCTCTCTTCTTTTCTATTGTAATTATCGCACGCACTGTACGAATATTTTGGTTAAAGCGCTAGCCAATTGAACTGCTGCTGCTGCTGCACGGCGGTCTGGCGGATATAACGGAAATGTGCAACTGGCAGCCAACAACCAGCAGCAACGGGCAGCGAAATTGTCAAACGGCTTGCAGTGACGATAGCGAACCGAAACAGAAACAGAAGCCGAAAAGCATGCGAGAGCAGAACCCGAGCAGCGAACAGCGAACAGCGACGAAAACGCGCGTGGGGTTTTCCTTAGGCCCCCAAAAGCTGCAGCTACCGCTGCAACGGTTGCTGTTGATATTGCTGCCACCTCTGCTTCGGCTTCTGCTTCTACTGCTGCTGCTACTGCTGCTGCTGCTGCTGCTGCAGTTGCAGTTTTGCTAACTGCCATTTGCCATTTGCTCTTGTCCGTTGGCTTCTAACGGCTTCGTCAAGTGCATGCGCTCTCTCACGCTCAGCCCACTGCCGCTCTCCCTCTCCCTCTCCCTCTCTCTGTCTCTGTCTGTGTCTGCTTAGCTTTTGGCTCTCTCGCGCTGCACAGCTTGCATCATAGACTCTGCTCTGGATACGTCTCGCGCCGCCCGCGCCGCCCAAAGCTCACACTGAACCGACACTTGTCAGCTTTTGCAGCGCTCTGTTGCTTAATCAAAAGTTTCTGCCATCCCTGCCCCTCTCCAGCTCATTCTCTCGCACTCTCTCTCCCTCTCTCTGTTGCTCTATTATTATGTGCGTGTCTGTGTGTGTGTGTTCTGCACTAGGCTCAAGTCAACCAACTTTGGAAGGTCATGTGGACTTAGTGCAGCCAAAATATCCTTGGATCATATTGGAAATGCATGCACACACACACACGCAAATGTGAGTATGTGTATTTGTGTGTGTGTGTGTGTGTGTGTGTGTGTGTGTGTGTGTGTGTGTGTGTGTGTGTATGCTTCTCGGGTTGTCCAAATGTCGCCTGGCAGCCGAGCCAATTGAGTCAGCTTTTTATAGAAGTTGTCGCTGTTGTTGCAGTTGTTGTTAATGCATTTTGTTGTTTGGCACCTAGTTGTTGTCATAGATACACATATACATATATATATATATATATATATATATATATATATACATACATGTATACACACACACACATACTTACACACATATATATATATACAGTCATATCTAAAGTCAAATTTCAAATTTCGCTTTGTCATTCTTTCATTCCGATTACTTTAGAATTTATATGTATATAGAAGGATATGTGTTAGATTCAAATTTTTATTTTTTGATACTTTTTCGATTCTGCAGTAAATATCCTTAAACTTTTCGTGGTATAAAGACAAAAAAAATCTGAATTCAAAATATTAGGAATTACAAAAATTCATATTTCATTTAATGTGAATAACTAAAAAACATTACATTTAAAATTTAAACATATACAGTAGAATCCCGATAATTCGAATCTGGGTTTTTTTTTTTTCGAGCTACACAGAAATGAAAATTATATAGAATTAATGAGAACGAATTTTCTTCAAGGGGATAGAACTTTTTCGATTTATCCCGATTTTTGATTTAGCGGGATACAAATTATCGAGATTCGATTGTACATATATATAATCAATAAACTGATCCCGATCAGTGGATATGCCAAACATATATCATATATAACCAGACTTGCCTCAAATTATATAACATTTTGATAACAGTTCTGTTAAATACAAAGAAACAGTGAGAGAGATAGGGAGAGGGAGTGCTCTTTAATAATACAACAGAAGTTTCATCTATAATAACTCCTAAACTCTATTACATTCATACCCAACATTTCATGTCATAAATAACTTTTAGTTCAAATTATGTAACATTTTGTTAACAGCTCTGTTAAATAAGAAGAAATAAAGCGAGAGCGAGACAGAGAGAGGGATCGCTCTTTAATAGTTAATAGATTTGATTTCCAATACTCTATGAACACAGCGCGCACAAGTGTTGCAGTTGCACTCTAATTGCCAGTCATGAGGTTCAACAACTTTCACACAAAAATCCTTGAACGCCATTTGCATGAAAAAAGCCCGCCCCGCACCCACACCCGCCACACAAACAAAAACAACTGCAACTGCAATAGAAGGCAGAACAACAACTGCAACTGCAACAACAACAGCGATTGCAAAAACAACAACAACAACGAGATTACGTATACGCCACGTATTGCGACAGACGCCGACGGGCTAGTCCAAGGAAGGGGGGGTCGCGCACAGAGCGGGTGCGTGTGTGTGTGTGTGTGTTTTTGTTGTCGACTCTTTGTAGAATATGGTAGAAAAACAACAACAGCAGCAGCAGCAGCAAGAGCGTTGTCTTAACGGTAATTCGTTGGCTGCTTTTGTTGTTGGCCAAAATGCGTTCGAAATCGCCTTTTGGGCTCTAAACGAATGTCAAGTGGAAAAGCAGCAAAGGCGATTGCCATAGGGGGAGGGCGGAAGGTGGCATGGCTAGATGCAGCAGCGAGAAGGTAAGCAAATCGAAAATGAAATTCGAGTTGTAGTTGAAAAAGAGAGAGAGAGAGAGAGAGAGAGAGAGAGAGAGAGAGAGAGTGAGAGAGAGAGACAAAGTGTTTTGCGAGTTTTGTGGTAAAGTGCAAAATGCTGACACTTGATGTTTGCTGTTGTTGTTGTAGCTGCTGTTGTTGTTGCTGTTGTTGTTGCTGTTGCTGTGGACGTTGTGAGGCATTCGCGTAATATTTCTGGGTCATAGATATTTGTACACCTTTGACGAGCAGCAGATACATATAGGTATACATAGGTATGACACGTAAATATATACGTATATATGTAGATATATGTATGTATATACACATATGTATGTATATACATATCTTGCTATATTAGTTGTTGTTTGTTGTTTTCGCTTAAGCTTTACCTTAATTCTAAATGAAATCAATTTCAAGTTCGAAATTGTTTAGCTGAGTGAATATATTTCTGGATTTCTTGGATTTGACTGACCTTATAAAACGAAAGTCCAACGCTGCAAAAGAAATGCCTGCGTCATTCCCTCTAAGAACTGCAATGGAAATGTAAGAGAGAGATTTTACGATGATCAGTTATATGAGGTGTATATATATAGATAGTGATATAAATAGATAGTATATAAGGTATATAGATATAAATATTGGAAAGAACATAAATAAACAAAGCTGCGTGGCCTACATATGAATTCATGCTCCACTCTAAGATATTGCCTTTCTATGCAATTCTCATGAAGGTACAAGAGGACTCATTCAATCACTCTCTCTCTCTCGCTTTCTCATTCTGGAAGAGAGGAAATGTGTAAACATTCATATAAAGAAAATAAGAGTTGCTTAGTTTTTGTTTGGCATAATATACATATAAGGAAGGGCATTAGGAACGAAATTCCTTTAGTTTCGAGTTGACAATTAAGTCAGTTATTTATTTAATAATTTAAGAATAGAATAGAATTTGAAAATAAATAAAAAAAGAAAACAAATAACAATAGTAAATTTATAAAATTAATAAAAATTATATAGAACAAAAAAAAAAAAAAAAAAAAAAAAAAAACAAATTAAAACAAGCAATAGTAATAAATTTATAAAATAATTATAAACAAATATTTCAAAATAAAATGTATTAAAAAAACAAAAACCAATAGTAAATTTACAAAATAAATAGCATTTAAAAATAAATATTTTACAAAAAAAAATTATTAAAATAAAAAATAAATAAATCAATCAAAAAAATAATTATCAAGAAACAACATTTTTTAGTGATTGTAAATTTATAAAATAATTATAAAAACTAAAATATTTTAAAATAAAAATGATATAAAAAAACAGAATATAAAAAATAGTAAAAAATAATGGTATATAAAAAAAAAGAAAAATTGCATTTAAAAAAACCTAAAAAATAAAACTAACAGCAGTAATAAATTATAAAAAATTATAAAAAAAAAAAAAAAATACTTTAGTGATTGTAATTAATTGACATTGCATATATTTTTAGTCATAGTCATCTATATATATTTTGCAGTGCACTGCTCGGATCTATCCAGTGCCAACTTTTCCGATTGCATAAGAACCTTAAATTGTTGCTTTCAGTGCTCTGGCGAGCGCTTTGAAATAATTGTTTCGATACGAATTCGTTTGACCATTTTACTTTTCGACTTGCTCCATATTCTAATCTCCGATTTCTAGATGACAGTTGCGGGGGCTATGAGGGAGGGTGGCGGTGCACCACTGTAGGGCGAACAGCTATCAAGTTACCCTATGCCAGAGTGCTCGTTGTTGTTGCAGTGGCTGTTGCGCTTTTTCAATTTCGAATACCAATTCGAATTCGAATTCGAATTCGACTTTTCTTCATTTTTAGGTCAATTTTGACAGTTGCGTCGACAGTCGGCACACTAAATGACAGCAGCAGCAATAGCAGCAACAGCAACAGCAACACCAACAGCAACAACAACAACAACAGTCTTGATCTATAGAGATCGATTCCCCCAATCCCCCATCCACTGGCCAAGCAGCGCACATCATCTTCGTCTCCATCAGTCTCATTGACAGGCGACGGGCGCTGGGCCAAGAACTTGAAATTGTCAATGTGTGTGCATGTGTGTGTGTGTGTGTGTGTGTGTGCGAGAGTCTTTGCGTATGTGTGTGTGTGTGTGAGTGGGTGGCCTGAAAGGTGCGCGTCTCTTGCATACGGCGACTTATCTGGAAGCGAAACGAAAAACACCTCAAAGCAACGTCAAGACTCGCTGCTACACTGAGAGAAATAAATGCCAAAGTACTTAATCAAAACTGTAAAAATCTCTACTATAATTGTAGCTAGATTAAATGATTATTTCATTGACTTTTCCCATATAATTTTTCGAATGCATATCAATAAAATTTTGCAGAAATAGATAAGGATGAAAAATAATGCTAGAGTGAGACACGACATTTTTTGTTTATTCAAATATTATATCTATGTATTATTTTGTTTTTTTTTTGTGGCATTTTTGCATTCAGGGAACTATATAAATTAACAGAACTGATATATAGAACTGGACAAAAAGTTTTACATATATGGAAAAGGATTATTATTTACAGTGTTTACTACGAATTGAAGTAAATAATGTATGAGGGAATCTTTTAGCGAGATCCCATGAATGGCGCCATTTGAACAAGATTTAATTTTATATAACAAAAAACGGACATTAGCAAGCCTCACTATGCGATTCTCATGCTCAGATATGACCCATTCTGCGGGTAACACTAAGAAAGTCTATAGCACTTAAACAGTCGAAAATGTCCAGGAATATATGTATTCCGTATTATAATATATAAAGCGAACGAATGGACAGCCGGACAAATGGACAAACGGACATCAACTTGATTATTGTACAAAGTCAATATTCTTTTCCTTTAGTTTCAGTTCTTTAAGAAGCACAAACAAGATCAGACAGTCAAGCCACCTAAAATGTTGCGCAGTGTAGCACATGTGTAGGGCGCTATTTATGTTTGCTGGTGACCTATATTCGAGCACATCAAGAGGAAGTAGGGAGAGGGCGCGAAGGGGAAGACGGCTAGAGAGCGGAGAGCGGAGAGCGGAGAGCAAGCAATGGGCAGCACTAATTAACAAAAGGTAAATCGAAAAGTTGAGAGGAAACAATTTTACCGAGCGCTCATATCATCAGAAGCAGTTGCTAGTCTTCGTCCAAACGCCCTCGCCCTACCCCCACCAAGAGATTATGTTATCTGTGTACGTGTGTGCGTGTGTGTGTGTGTGTGTGTGTGTGTGTGTGAGGCACCTTCAACATATATCCCTGGACGCATATCAAGTTGAAGGTTTATTTTTGTTTACAATCATTTTTTCGAGCAATGTTGAAAAAAAAAATAAATAAATAAATAAATCAACAACAACAAAAATAATAATAGCGACAACAACAACAAACAGCGCGACTCTTTAGTCACTGCCCCAACACACGCATTCGTTCCGCTACCCCTAACGCCCCCTCCCCCCTCGAATACTGCTACACTTCTGCCCGCTCCGGCTGCTCCTCTGCCTGCGCCTCCTGCTCCATAGCACGCCCACACGTCCAACAAGTAGGTCGTCGTCGTCACCGTCAACGTTTCGAAATAGAGGAAAAGAATTTTTTTCTTTTCTTTTTTTTCGTTTTTTTTTTTTTTTTTTTTTGTTAGTGTTGTTATTCTATTTTTTATTTCGTATGTTTGTTTTTCTTTTAGTATTTTATCTTATCGGCAGTCAGCGAGTTCAAATTTTATTTTTGGTGGCATACACCCTGCAAATATGGCTATAGCTGCACGCATTGTGCCTGCCTTAACAGTTGATCTGCTGTCGAATTTGAACTAATTACAGGGTATATAGATAGTTGTTGCTGCTGTCTGTTGCCTAATTTCCAAACTTTGTTTCGATTACAGGGTATCTGCAAGTCTATCACTGGGAACTTTAGTATATCTAACTAGTCTAACTAGTTTTGGTTTGATTAGCTCTCATATTTTTGCATCTAAAGAGTATCTGCTGGTCGGGCTCTTTTATTTAGGTTGCTAATTTCTTCTTCTTCTCCTTTGCATCTTTCACTTTGAGAGCTCGCCTAGGGTATCTGCTAGTCGAGCTCATGTGCGCTCTTTTCTGCTTTCTTCTTTGGCTTTCTTCGGCTTCTAAAACAACAGCAATAGTCAAATTCGAAAAGCAGAAAAAAAATGTTTAAACTGAATTTTGTTATTAACAAATGTTTGCCTTATGCTCCGTCCCACTCGCACTCGCACGCACACTCTCACTCTCACTCTCTCTCCCTCTGCCTCTGGCTTTACCACTATCTCTTGCTCCCTCTCTCCCTTTCTCCCCTCTCTCTCTCTCTCTCTTTCATATTTGTTCATATTCCACGCACCCGGCATAAAGCAACAACAACAACAACAACCAGCTGGGAGAAAAACTCTGCAGCCGGCAGCTGCGTTCGCCGCACGCCCTACACGCTGCCACACCCACCGCGAAGACAGCGCCAAACGTGCTAGACGCGCGCATATGCCCCGCGTAGGGCATCCCAAAAATTAAATACATATTATTTCTTTTCAAGAGATACCAAAAAAAAAAAAAAAATACAACAAAAAATACAACAAGAAAAACAAAATAAGTAAATAAATAAAAAGTATAAGAAGAAGTCATTTGAAATCTAGGTCAAAGTATTTTACGCATATGTTGCCCTCTCTCTCTCGTTCTTCCACTCCCTGTCTCTCCTCTCTCTCTCTCTCTCTCTCTCTCTCTCTGACTTTGTTTGCCGCAAGAAAGGCAAACAAACACACCAACTAAGCGATCCATATAGAGATCCTTTGTTATACTTTGGCGCTCCATATATTATATATGTATATATAGATCATATTTATACATATATTTCATGTATATTGAGCACCTAACACTTTCATAGTTATTTATCAAGTGTCAAAATTGGCCCACATAAAAACAGCAACAAAATATAGTTCACACCATAATGGAAATAAAACACACCTAAGCGTATGCAGAGTGAGAGCAAAAGAGAGAGAGAGGGGGAAGTGAGAGCAGGAGCGGAAGACTATTATCTATTATAGTTGAACATAATATCAGATCTGTTCCAGTTTTGGCTTAAATGGGAAGTTCAAATTGAACACGATTCGATCTGTATGAATATTAAGATAGATTCGATTATTGACCTATTCATATAACTGCTCTATAGGGAATGTACCAGCTGTAGTACCGGTCAATCCAACACGTAATGTAAATTATGTATTTTGGGAAAATAAATATTTTTTTTTTTTTTTTTTTTTTTTGATATAGGCATAGGAGGCCTTGACTTCCCGTTGCCGACCTGGACTAGACTGAAATCGTACTCAATCAGTTTACTTTCAACACTAGACGGGAGCAGTAATTAAAAAAAAAAAACAAAATTTTTTTTATATATATTTTTATTTCGAATAAAACGCATAGCTTTTGGCTTTTATAGAATGGATAGAATACGAACATTTGTACGTGTCGGACAGGCAATCAAGTGGACGCACCGCTGCAATCAAATCACGG